TCGCTCTTGTTACCCAGGCTGGAGTGCAATGGCGCGATCTCGGCTTACCGCAACCTCCGCCTCCTGGGTTCAGGCAATTCTCCTGCCTCAGCCTCCTGAGTAGCTGGGGTTACAGGCACGCACCACCATGCCCAGCTAATTTTTTGTAGTTTTAGTAGAGACGGGGTTTCACCATGTTGACCAGGATGGTCTCGATCTCTTGACCTTGTGATCCACCCGCCTCGGCCTCCCAAAGTGCTGGGATTACAGGCTTGAGCCACCGCGCCCGGCCTTAAACTTTGTTTTCTAAAATGTTTAGAAAACATTTTAAAGTTAAGCGTCTTTAAATACATTTTGCCCATACCAAAGTTCTTATTTTTAATTGTATTGTTACATAATAATCATAATTTCTTGCTTTATCATGCAGGCAAAATAATAATTGTACATATTTATGGAGTACATAATTTTGATGCATACATATAATATATAATAATCAAATCAGAGTAATTAGGGTATCCATCACCTAATTTATAATTTCTTTGTTTTGGGAACATTCAAATCTTCTAGCTGTTTTGAAATATATAATAAATTATTGTTAACTATAGTCACGCTACTATACTATTGTATGCTAAAACTCATTCCTTCTATGTAACTGTATTTCATACCAAAATTCTTTATTTAGGGTATATCTCTTTTTGTTACTGTTTGATATTCTAGAAAGGCAGGTAGGACTAGATCATATCCTCTGGGCTAATTTCATTTAGATTTCATAGAAACTCCAAGTATAAGCCTTTCCAGATTTCTCTTATTAAATTGACTAAGGCTCTTTCCCTAATATTTTTAACTGGGATATAAATAGTAATGTGAAATGTCTATTTTTTTACATCTGCAAAAAATATTTTCTTTCTTTTTTTTTTTTTGCAATGGAATTTTGCTCTTGTTGCCCAGGCTGGGGTGCAGTGGCATGATCTCAGTTCACTGCAGCCTCTACCTGCTGGGTTCAAGCGATTCTCCTGCCTTAGTCTCCCTAGCAGCTGGGATTACAGGCGCCCCCCACTATACCCACCTAATTTTTTGAATTTTTTGTAGAGACGGGGTTTCGCTATGTTGGCCAGGCTAGTCTCAAACTCCTGACCTCAGGCGATACACTTGCCCCAGCCTCCCAAAGTGATGGATTACAGGCATGAGCCACTGCACCCGGCTGTATTTTATTTTTCTTGTATAACCTTTATTATACACTTTATCTGAGTTTTACTTTGGCTTTGCAGAGGCATGAGATTCTAGTTTTGACACTAATGTTAACCCTAATATTTGTAAACTGATCTCTAGCTTTCAGGATGCCAACCCGCCCCTGAAGGTTATTCGCCAACACTTCAGTGGCAACAGCAACAAGTGGCACAGTTTTCAACTGTTCGACAGGTAAAGTGTCATATTTAATCTAATTAAGCCCCTGTTGGATTTATTTCTGTTCCTAGGCTGTAGTTAGAAAAATAAAATTTATGATCCTAAAGTATAGAGAATATTCATGATTACCAAATTATTATAATTGTTAGACATAATACAGTTTGAAACATTGTGTAAGTTTTATTTATTTTATTTATTTCAATAGTTTTGGGGAACAGGTGGGTTTTGGTTACATGGATGAGTTCTTTAGTGGTGATTTCTGAGCTTTTGGTGCACTCATCACCCAAACAGTGTACTCTGTACCCATTAAGTAGTCTTTTATACCTCACCCCCTCCCACCCTTCCCATTTTCCAAGTTTTAGATGGTTAAAATTTTGTGCAGAAACTTATTTCTTTTCAGTCACCCATTTTTTGAAGAATACTGGCTAACGTCTAACTTTTCTTCCTTTAGAATGTGAACAAACATAGAAGTCACTGGAAATCGCAACAGTTGGATAGTAATGTGACCATGGTATGTAAGTTTCTCAGTTTTAAGTTGTACAATGTATACCTGATTGAAAGAATCTACATTTACTTCCAGTCTTTAAAGATTCACTTCCTATTCAGTGTTATTTTCATTCTTTTCAATATACCATTAATAGTAACAATTCCATTACATTAGTAGCCTGAAAAGTATAGATTTTCATGACAATTTTTTTTTTTTTAAGACAGGGTCTTGCGCTGTCTCCCAGGGTGAAGTGCAGTTGCACAATCACAGCTCGCTGCAGCCTCGACCTCCTGGGCTCAAGTGATCCTCCCACCTCAGCCTCCCAAGTAGCATAAACTAAAGGCACATGCCACCATGCCCATCTAATTTTTTAAATTTTTTGTAGAGATGAGGTCTCCCTATGTTATCCAGGCTGGTCTCTTACTCCTGGGCTCAAGTGATCCTCCTGCCTTAGCCTCCCGGCGTGCTAGATTACTTACAGGCATGAGCTACCGTACCCAGCCTTTCATGTCAATTTTAATTCACAGTATCTTGGGGGACTTTGGATAGGTGACTATTAAGCTTTTACAAGTTTTTAGGATTCTTCTAGGCATTTACTTTCCAGGAAATTAATACATTTTTAATATTTACAAAAAGATTGAATAAAGACTTAATGGATTTTCCTGATGAGGTGATAGTGCTATGCAGTAAACCCACACATTTACAGAACTTGTAAATGATTCTGCTTCTACTTAATGTGATGAGTCTACATCACAATTCCAGTGACATATAAGTGAAGCTGTCATGTATACTGTCATGGATATGTCCTGCATTTTATCTTTAGTTGTAATTTTAAGCTCTTCAGTAGATATATCAGGACTACCAAATGAAAAAAGGAGTTTGGCCGGGCGCGGTGGCTCAAGCCTGTAATCCCAGCACTTTGGGAGGCCGAGGCGGGTGGATCACGAGGTCAAGAGATCGAGACCATCCTGGTCAACATGGTGAAACCCCGTCTCTACTAAAAATACAAAAAATTAGCTGGGCATGGTGGCACGTGCCTGTAATCCCAGCTACTCAGGAGGCTGAGGCAGGAGAATTGCCTGAACCCAGGAGACGGAGGTTGCGGTGAGCCGAGATCGCGCCATTGCACTCCAGCCTGGGTAACAAGAGCGAAACTCCGTCTCAAAAAAGAAAAAAGGAGTTGGAAAGATGACACATTGTCTTAAGACAATAGTTTTTAACTTTTTAGGGAATTTCATATTTTTTTCTGAGGACCTAATGAAAGCTATTTATCTTCAGAGGGGAAAAAATGCACCTATGCACAAAATTTTAGTTTCAGGTAGTTCATAGATTTTAGATTTTAGAAGCTTCCTGTAGACAGTGCTTCTTGATATCTTTTACAGGGTGACACATTTGGATAAATGACTGCTTGCATATTCTTCTTGAAACCAGCCAAAAGCTGAGAGATTCAGTATATGGCATCTCTGTATGCTTCTGCATACCATTTGGAAGCTCTGCTCCAGGAAAAGTGTTAAGGGAAGTAACATCATTTGCCAAAGGACATTTAACTTGTAAAAGGTATAGCTAGTCCTTCTATCAAAGAAGCATGTGCACATACACAAAAGGTATGCTTAGGGTTCAAACTAAAGGCTGTCTCTAAAGCCTTTGTGCCTTTGACTATGTAATGGTGCCTTCCTAGTCAAAAGGGTATATGTATGTAGTAGGGGCTGGGACAGGTAGATAAATATATTTTTTTCTTACTCAGTGGAAGGGCTTTTGTGTGCATGCCCACTAATTAAAAAAGAAGCCACGGCCAGGCACGGTGGCTCACACCTATAATCCCAGCACTTTGGGAGGCTGAGGCAGGAGGATCAGGAGGTCAAGAGATTGAGACCATCCTGGCCAATATAGTGAAACCTTGTCTCTACTAAAAGTTCAAAAATTAGCTGTGCTTGATGGCACACACCTGTAGTCCCAGCTACTCGGGAGGCTGAGGAAGGAGAATCACTTGAACCCGGGAGGCAGAGGTTGTAGTGAGCTGAGATCATGCACTCCAGCCTGATGACAGAGTGAGACTCCGTCTCAAAAAAAAAGCCACATCAGTAACATGACTTGATAAAATTTTGTCAAAAATGGAAATGACCTAACATAATTGATTCAATAAACTATGGCCCATCAGAACAGTGGAATATTATGTAGCAATTATAGATGTTTATCATGGCAAATGTAAACATCATACAGATAATAAAATGAAAATATTTTAAAGTATACTCTGGGCCAGGCACGGTGGCTCATGCCTGTAATCCCAGTACTTGGGGAGGCTGAAGCAGGCAGATCACCTGTACTCAGGAGTTCAAGACCAGCCTGGACAACATGGCAAAACCCCATTTCTATTTAAATTATTTAAAAAATAAATAAAGTACACTCTGATGGAAACTGTGTGAAAACATAAATATTTATTAATTGATCCAATAATTTATTAAGCATGTACTATATTTAATAATCAGGATATTCAGTACTCACTGAAACAGAAACAACTTCTGACCTAATGGAGTGATAGGAAAAGGTAGATACTTTGTTCCAAGACAATAGGGTTTAACTTTTTAGTGTCTCATGATCATCCTGAGGTTTTATTTTATTTTATTTTATTTTGAGATGGGGTTTCACTCTTATTGCCCAGACTGGAGTGCAATGGCATGATCTCAGCTCACTGTAACCTCTGCCTCCCAGGTTCTAGCAATTCTGCCTCAGCCAGCCAAATAGCTGGAATTAGAGGCACCCACCACTGTACCTGGCTAATTTTGTATTTTTAGTAGAGACAAGGTTTCACCATATTGGCCAGGCTGGTCTCAAGTTCCTGACCTCAGGTGATCCATGCTGAGAATTTAATGAAAGCTATTTATTCCCGGGTGGGGGGCGGGAAATAAAAGTTGTTTTGTTAAGGAGGTTATATTGAGCTGAATGCTTCTCCCAACTAGTCCTGCTTTTTCTGTCTAGCAGCATAGAGTAGATCTGTTTCTTCTTTGATTGGACAGCCCTTCAAACATGTCAAATATGTAATCATGTCTCTGTATATGGGATGCTTCATTCCATTAAGCATTCTTGGTGCATTTTTCCCCCATACTTGTTTCTGTCTTCATCATCCTCTTTTGGACACACCCTTATCTGTCAGTGTCCATTAGTCTGGTCCAAACTAAACACATCTTGGCTGGGCACAGTGGCTCACGCTTATATCCCAGCACTTTGAGAAGCCAAAGCAGAAGAATTGGTTGAGGCCAGGAGTTTGAGACCAGCCTGGGCAACATAGTTGAGACATCTATCTCTGCAAAAAAATTTAAAAATTAGCCAGGCGTGGTGGTACATGCCTGTAATCTCAGCTACCCAAGAGGCTGAGGTGGCAGAATTGCTTGAGCCTGGGAGATTCAGGCTGCCATGAACTGTAATCATACTTCTGTACTCCAACCAGGGTGACAGAGCAAGACCCTGACTCAAAAAATGTAATAATAAAATAAGAAAAAACAACATGTCCCACATACTGTATAGCCACTTAGGCACTATGTTTGCCAGGGCTGCCGTAACAGACTAGGTGGCTTATACAACAGAAATTTATTTTCTCACAGTCTTGAAGGTTGAAAGTCCAAGAAGAAGGTGGCAGCATGGTTGGTCTTTTCTTCTTCTTCTTCTTTTTTTTTTTTTTTTTTTTTTTTTTGACAGAGTTTCACTCTTGTTGCCCAGGCTGGAGTGAAATGACATGATCTCAGCTCACTGCAGCCTCCACCTCCCAGGTTCAAGCGATTCTCTTGCCTCAGCCTCCAAGTAGCTGGGATTACAGGTGCGCACCAGCATGCTCAGCTAATTTTTTTTTGTATTTTTAGTACCAAAAAAAGGTGGGGTTTTACCATGTTGGTCAGGCTAGTCTCAAACTCCTGACCTCACGTGATCCGCCCACCTTGGCCTCCCAAAGTATTAGGAATACAGGCATGAACCACTATGCCCAACCTAAGGTTGGTCTCTTCTAAGGCTTTTTCCATGGCTTGCATATGGCCACCTTCTCCTCTTTTCTCTGTGTGTGGGAGTCCCTGGTGTCTCTTTTTGAGTTCACATTTCCTCTTATAAGGACACTAGTAAGATTGGATTAGGGCTGACCCTAATGGTCTCAATTTAAATTAATCACTTCTTTAAAAGCTCTGTCTCCAAATACAGTCACATACTGAGGTACTAGAGGTTAGGGTTTTAAAATACAAATTTTGGTGACAGAGATTCTCCCCGTAACTGGCACCCTATCTTTGGGTTGAGGTAATGGGAATATGGGAGACCCTAACTTATTTTGTTTACTGTTCTGTGTAAAAATTAATACACAGAAATAAATCTGTTTTTGTTTTTCTTTTTTTTCTTTCAGCCAAAATCTGAAGATGAAGAAGGCTGGAAGAAATTTTGTCTGGGTGAAAAGTTATGTGCTGACGGTGCTGTTGGACCAGCCACAAATGAAAGTCCTGGAATAGATTATGTACAAGTAAGGGCTATGTCAATAAACAGAACAAAAAGCATTTTAATTTTGGTGCATCACTTAATATAAGGGGTCAGCAAACAACATCCTGGGCCAAGTCCAGTCCTTGGCCTTTTTTATATATCCCATGAGCTATGGATGGTTTTTAGGTTTTTAAAGAGTTGTAAAAAAGAAACCAATAATATGTGACTGAGACTGTATGTGGCCTGCAAAGCCTAAAATATTTGCTGTCTGACTCTTGATAGAAAATGTTTGCCAACCCAGACTTAGTTTATTAGCTCTTCATCCCAACAAAGCAGCTGTGACTTTTTTATCCCTATATTTGGCTTGGTAATCATTTTATGAGTTGGATAAGATTCAGGTTTTTATGACGAGGCATCGGGCAAACAATGTTATGAGTAGCCAGGGAAAAAATGGAAAACAACACAATTAGGTGCTTTAAAACACATAATCACATATATCACTTCATGGCCTTGTAAAAAATAAAGTAAATCACATAATCTGAAGATGAAATGTTGAGGATATGTTTAAAATTCACGTGGCTTTAATCATAAGTTATGGAGCCAACTCCTTGTCCTTTAGGATTCACCTGCCCCCAAGTTTGCAGGTGTTCCTTTAGAATCCAGTGTGTGCTTCTGCATTAGTGCTTACTCCCTGTAACATGTTGTTCTCCTCAGTTCAACAGGTATTTATTATTTGCTATATGATGCCACATTGTGTTTTTCCCATTTAACACTAATTTTTCCCAAAGATTGAAAGAGCTCCAAGTATCAATAAAAAAACCAAGAATCACCCCTCCCCTGCCCAAGAAAAAACAGGCAAAGTATGTAGATACCTCACAGAAAGGAAATAAAATTATTCTTATATGACAAGATGCCAAAAAACACTTGTAATAGAAGTATAACCTAACTATGCCAAGGTGCTATTTTTCAGGTAACATATTGGCAAAGAAAGTTTGATACACCATATTAAAAAGAGCTGGGAAAACAGGCACTCTTATACATGATACAGGAGTGTAAACAGACTCAAATCTTAGGGAAGGTAATTTGGTACTCTTTCTGTATAACCAATTGATCTTTTGGATGATATCCTTAATATATGTTACATTTCAAAAATGGTTTTCTTAATATATATATGTATGTATATATTTGAGACAGGGTCTTCTGTCATCTATGCTGTAGTGCAGTGGTATAGGTCATAGCTCATTACAGCTTCAACCTCCTGGGCTCAAGCAATCCTCCCACATCAGCCCTCCACATAGCAGGGACAGCAGGCACCACCACACCTGGCTAATTTTTAAATTTTTTGTAGAGATAAGTTTACTAATAGAAACATTTTTAATTTTTTATAAAATTTTTTATAAATTTTTTTTAGAGATACGTTTTTGCCATTTTGCCCAGGTTGGGCTGGAACTCTTGGGCTCAAGCAATCCTTCTGCTGGGATTATAGGCATGAGCCACTATGGCTGACCAAAAATAATTCTTAATTTAATAAAGAATTAAAACTTCCTTATTTAACTTATTTTCAGAGAATACAGGCAAGTAAAATACACCATGTTAAAATTTTTTAAAAAACCCTTAAGGAAGTAAGAGTTTAATGTATATCCTCTTAAGTTTCTCACAAATCAATGGTATTTTCATAATTAGGAATCGCAGCCTCAGACTCCAAAGTACACTTTTAAAATTTGAATCAAATTAGATTTTTAAAATGTCATTTTAATTGAAATGTCCTTAATTCTTGAGAATGTTAGCTTTAGGCCGGGTGCGGTGGCTCAAGGCTGTAATCCTAGCACTTTGGGAGGGCAAGGTGGGTGGATCACCTGAGGTCAGGAGTTCAAGACCAGCCTGGCCATCATGGTGAAACTCCATCTTAAAAAAATAAAAATAAAAAAAATAAATTAAAAAAAAAAGAGAGAGAATGTTAGCTGAAAATTTTGTAATGTTGTGTACAACATATTAATGTTATCCTATCAATATGTTACAGTTTTATTGAATATACTTAATAGCTTAGTTTTTTCAAGTAATATCATTTAAAAAATTTTTAGTCTTTAACCTTTTAGTTACTAAAATTATACTTTATTTTAAAATTTACATATTCAGACCAGGCGAGGTGGCTCATTCCTATAATCCCAGCACTTTGGGAGGTCCAGGCAGGTAGATCATTTGAACTCAGGAGTTCCAGACCAACTGGGCAATATGACAAAACCTCATCTCTACCAAAAATACAAAAAATATTACTTGGGCATGGTGACATGCACCTGTGGTCCTCGCTACTCTTGAGGCTGAGGTGGGAGCATCACTTGAACCCAGGAAACAGAGGTTGCAGTGAGCCAAGATCATGCCACCACACTCCAGCCTGGATGACAGAGTGAAACCCCCTCTGAAAAAAATAATAATTACGTATTCAAATTTTAAGATGTTATTTTCTTCCACAGTACTAACATAGTAGTTACCAGAATGTCGTATTGTAGTGGACAATGAGTGAATTTTCTTTTATTTGTTCTTTGTTTCTAAACAACAGTGTGGCAAGAAATTCACCAGTTTGAAAAAAATAAAAATGAAGCTCTTCCTTATAATACCATTTAATAAATTTCAGTGTCATTTTTTCTTTCAGATTGGTTTTCCTCCTTTGCTTAGTATTGTTAGCAGAATGAATCAGGTAAAATTAATGATAAAGATATATGGATTTTTTTGTTTGCATTGAGTGTTAAAGTATTTGAATTATTAATACATTTACTGAATTCTTACAGTATGCAAGACTTTGTCCTAAGCTCTTCAATGGTTCTTATTTAATCCTTACTACAACCTTTTATGGGGAGTTATTATTGATAACTACTTTTATAGATGAGGAAACAGCATTTGAGGTTAAGTAACTTGCAGGTGGTTTTTCAGCAAGTAAATGACAGTACTGGGATTCAGTGCCAGCTATATCTAACTCCAGAGCTCATGCTCTGTCTTAATCATGGTGCCAGAGTATTCATTTCTCTTTTTTTCTTTTTCTTTTTTTTTTTTTTTTTTTTTGAGACAAAGTTTTGCTCCTGTTGCCCAGGCTGGAGTGCAATGGCACAATCTCAGCTCACTGCAACCTCCATCTATCGGATTCAAGTGATTCTCCTGTCTTAGCCTCCCGAGTAGCTGAGATTACAGCCGTGTGCCAGCACACCTGCTAAATTTTGTCCTTTTGGTAGAGATGGGGTTTCACCATGTTGGTCAGGCTGGTCTCGAACTCCTGACCTCAGATGATCTGCAAGTCTCAGCCTCCCAAAGTGCTAGGATAACAGGCATGAGCCACCGCACCCGGCCAGAGTATTCATTTCTGTAGATTTCAGTTATAAGTCTTAGATTCTGGGGTTTGAATTAAATACAGGGTCCCTGACTTACAATGATTCAGTTTAGGAATTTTTTTTTCCATCATGCCTGGCAAATTTTTGTATTTTTAGTAGAGATAGGGTTTCACCATGTTGGCTGTGTTCGTCTCGAACTCCTAGTCTCAAGTGATCTGCCCATCTCAGCCTCCCAAAGTGCTGGGATTAGAGGCATGAGCCACCATGCCTGGCCAATTTAGGAATTTTCAGCTTTACAATGTGTTTATCAACACATAACCCCATTGCCAGTGTAGGGCCATCCGTACTAAGGTTAGATTGCTATTTCTAGTTCTAGATGTCCTATACATTCTGTTAAAATCGTATTACATAATTTATTGGATCAACGGGGAGAGTTTGGAGTTTGGTTCTTCTGTTTTTTAGGAGTAAGGACTCTGTTATTCATTTAAAAACCAAATAAAAATTTAGTTTTACCTTCATATAGCACTGGGTACCTTTGGAAGACTTTTGTTTTGTTTTTTTTTAAGCAGGGTCTCATTCTGTTGCCGAGGCTGGAGTACAGTGGTGTGATTCTTGGCTCACTGCAGGCTTGTCCTCTGGGGCTCAGGCACTCCTCCCACCTCAGCCTCCAGAGTAGCTGAGACCACAGTCATGTGCTATCATGCCTAGCTAATTTTATTTGTTTATTTTTTGCAGAGAAAAGTTCTCTCTATGTTGCCCAGGCTGGTCTGGAACTCCTGGGCTCAAGCGATCCTCCCACCTCAGCCTCCCAAAGTACTAGGAATAGAGGTGTGAACCACTGGGCCCAGCTGACAATTTTTTTTTTGTGGGCGATATTCTATTGGAAATAATAAACAAGCTGACAGTTTTACTTACTTAATCATTTGAATTAAGATATTGTAGCAGTCATAATAAATATCATCAGTGTGATTTTTGTTGTAAGCATCAACTGTATTTGAATAAACCAAGGAATATTTTCAATAGTTTGATAAATCCATCTGTACAGCTTAAGAACAGATCTGTCTCCGGCTATTTTTTTCTTCAGATCTGTACTTTGATTTAATTTCAATTTGGAAATAAACTGATGGTATTTTTACAAATACATCATTTTTTAAGACAGATTTTTGCTCTTTTGCCCAGGCTGGAGTGAAGTGGCAGGATCTCAGCTCAGGGCAACCTCTGCCTCCCAGGTTCAAGCAATTCTCCTGCCTCAGCCTCCCAAGTAGCTGGGACTACAGGCACTCATCACCACTGACCTCAAGTGCTCTGCCTGCCTCAGGCTCCCAGAGTGCTGGGATTGCAGGCATGAGCCACTGCACCTGGCCACAAATATATCCTTTTTTAACCTTGTGAAGTTTTTTAAGTAGTTACAAACTAAATTATTAATAGTTAGAAACTAAATCCTTGGATTTAAACCAAGATGTTAGTTGATATTTGAAAGTGTGAAAATATTTGTTTTAAAAGCCTCACTGGAGCTGTGTGCAGTGGCTTACGCCTGTAATCCCAGCACTTTGGGAGGCCAAGGCAGGCAGATCACCTGAGGTGAGGAGTTCGAGACCAGCCTGACCAACATGGAGAAACCCTGTCTACTAAAAATACAAAAATTAGCTGGACGTGGTGGTGCATGCCTGTAATCCCAGCTACTGGGGAGGCTGAGGCAGGAAAATCACTTGAACCTGGGAGGCAGAGGTTGCAATGAGCTGAGATCGCACCATTGAACTCCAGCCTGAGCAAAAAGAGTAAAACTTCATCTCAAGGGGAAAAACAAGGCCGGGTGTAGTGGCTCACGCCTGTAATCCCAGCTTATTAGGAGGCTGAGGTAGGCAGATCACGAGGTCAGCAGATTGAGACCAGCCTGACCAACATGGAGAAACCCGTCTCTACTAAAAATACAAAAATTATCTTGACGCGATGGCACGTACCTGTACTCCCAGCTAATCGGGAGGTTGAGGCAGAAGAATTGCTTGAACCTGGGAGGCAGAGATTGCAGTGAGCCAAGATCGTACCACTGCACTCCAGCCTGGGCAACAGAGGGAGACTCTTATCTCAGAAAAAAAAAAGCCTCACTGGATAAGCCATCGAATCAAACTAATTAGAGTCAAACTAATTAGTTTTCTTAGAAAGTTTAAAGAATGAGGTCATTTTAAACATCAGAGTTGCTTTGTAAATAAACTTAATGAAACTCATGTTGAATTCATGTTTTATTGTTAATACAACTCTTCTCTACCCACCTCCCTTTTTTTTTTTTAGGCAACAGTAACTAGTGTCTTGGAATATCTGAGTAATTGGTTTGGAGAAAGAGACTTTACCCCGGAATTGGTAGTATTGCATCCTTTTCTTTTCATAATGTAGGCAAAAATTAGACGTTTTAGGTCAAGTATGGGCCACATATACAATGGTGCTCCTATAGGATTATAATGCTGTATTTTTACTGCACTTTTTTTTTTCTTTTGAGACAAGAAAAAAGTTACTGGGTAACTCTGTTACCCAGGCTGGAGTGCAGTATTACAATCATAGCTCACTGCAACCTTGATCTCCCCAACTCAAACAATCCTCCTTCCTCAGCCTCCTGGGTAGCTAGGACTACAAGTGTATACAACCACAGCCAGCTAATTATTATTTTTACCAGAGACAAGATCTCACTATGTTGCCCAGGCTGGTGTTGAACTGAGTCCAGATGATCCTCCCTCCTCAGCCTCCCAAAGTGCTGGGGATTACAGGCATGAGCCACCACGCATGGCCTTTTGTGTTTTTTAAATAGAGACGAGGTGTCACTATGTTTCCCCAGCTGATCTCAACCTCCTAGGCTCAAGTGTTCCTCCAAACTTGGCCTCACAAACTGTTTGTATTATAGGCATGAGCCACTGAGCCCAGCTCCTTTTCAGTGTTTAAATATGTTTAGATGCAGCTGGGCAAGTGGCTCACACCTGTAATCCCAACTACTGGGGAGGCTGAGGCAGGAGGATCACCTAAGGCCAGGGAGGTTGATGCTGCAGTGAGCTATCATTGTGCCACTGCACTTTAGCCTGAGTGACAGAGTGAGATCCTATCTTAAAAAAACATTATGTGGGGTTTTTGGATGCACAAATCTTTACCATTATGTTACAGTTGCCTACAGTATTCAGCACAGTAATGTGCTGTATATGTTTGTAGCCTAGGAGCAATTGGCTATGCAATGTAGTCTAGGTGTGTAGTAGACTATACCATCCAGGTTTATGTAAGTATACTTTATAATGCTCATCCAGGGACAAAATCACCTAACGCATTTCTCAGAATATATCCCCTTCATTAAGTGACGCATGACTGTACTTACATATGAGATATGATGCTACAGTATTTTATTTATTTATTTATTTATTTTTTTGAGATGGAGTCTCCCTTTGTTGCCCAGGCTGGAGTGCAGTGGTGCAATCTCAGCTCACTGCAACCTCCACCTCCTGGGTTCAAGCAGTTCTCCTCCCTCAGCCTCCCAAGCAGCTGGGACTGCAGGGTCGTACCACCAAGCCCAGCTAACTTTTGTATTTTTGTAGAGACGGGCTTTCTCCATGTTGGCCAGACTGGTCTTGAATCCTGACCTCAAGTAATCTACCCGCCTCCACCTCTCAAAATGCTGGGATTACAGACATGAGCCACTGCAACTGGCCAGTATTTATATTTATATATGTGTATGTATGTGTGTATATATATGTTTAATCTGAAGTATGCTTCTTTGTAGCCAAATAAGAAACACTAGAATGTAAATCAACATACTACTTCCTTCATTGAGAAAGTCTTGCTTTGAGAAAAAAAAAGTCAATGAAAGAGTTGATTTATATCTTGGTACAAGGTACAAACTGTTTATCTTGTTGCAGACAAGTATAGAGGATATTTAATATTTGAATGCTAGCTTTACATAGTAAGTGTATCCCTTAAAATTTGAGTCAAGTTGACATGTATAATTTTTTTTATGGAAAAATTATTTCCACAATTTGTAAAAGAAACCTGGATTTGAATCTTTTTATATAAGAAAAAGTCTTACTATTGATTTGGGTTTGCCTGAGGAACTAATTTAGTGTGTTATATAAATTGCTATTTAAATTTTGCCCTAATATTTTTTAGGTTTCCCTAAAGTGATATGTTGCTTGGAATAAAAGAAGCTGTATACACTACTGATGGAAATACAAATTTGGTATAACCTTTCCAGGATACAATCTGGTGATCTTATCTGAAAAAGTTTGATGAATATACATACTCTTTGTCACCATTTTACTTGCAGTACTTAATAAACTTTCCCCATGTTGTCAAATGGGATTAAACAAGGTGGTGTTATTAAATACTCTCAACAAGGCACTTAACATTGCCTTGTTAATCCCATTTAACTACATGGGATGGCTGAGAGGGGTGGCTCACGCCTGTAATCCCAGCACTTAGGGAGGCCAAGGCGGGCACGATCACTTAAGGTCAGGAGTTCGAGACCAGCCTGGCCAACATGGTGAAACCCCATCTGTACTAAAAATACAATATTAGCTGGGTATGGTGGTGGGTGCCTCTTGTCTCATCCCCTCAGGAGGCTGAGGCAGGAGGACTGCTTGAACCTGGGAGGCAGAGATTGCAGTGAGCCAAGATGGCACCACTGCATTCCAGCCTGGGTGACAGAGGGAGATTCTATCTCAGAAAAAAAAAAGGACAAAACAACATGGGAAACATTTTATATGTATTATAAATAAAAAAGATGGCTACAAGGTGATATTACAACTGATGAAATTTTATTGAAAAAAATTCATACGGCCAGACACAGTGGCTCATGCCTATAATCCCACCACTTTGGGAGGCTGAGGCAGGTGGATCACTTGAGGTCAGGAGTTCAAGACCAGCCTGACCAACATGGTGAAAGTGCATCTCTACTAAAAATACAAAATTAGCCAGGCGTGATGGCGCAGGGCTGTAATTCCAGCTACTCGGGAGGGTGAGACAGAATAATCGCCTGAACCCAGGAGGCAGAGGTTCCAGTGAACTGAGATCATGCTGTTGCACTCCATCCTGGGCAACAAGAGTGAAACTCTGTCAAAACAAACAAACAAACAAAAAAAGTTGTACATATGAATAGGAAAAAGAAGAACATTTTAAAGTGAGTCAAAGTTTTATCTGGAATGTTGGGACTGCAGGTTTGTTTTTTCTTGTGCTTGTGGTATTCTTCACAGTTTCTCTGCATCAAATATGTATTTATTTTGAAATTGAAAAACCCATTTTAAAAGGGAGTGGGGATAAATTCAGCCTGTCAAAGTGTTTATAGAAGTGTCAAAAAATTATTTCATCTACAATATAGTTCCTTTGTATGCCCCAGAGGACAAAATTATACAATTATAAAATGACTTGTGTATCTGTCCATACAGAGCAAAGAAAAAAAGTATCTTAATTTTTCCAAGTATTTATATTCATCTTAATGTAGTTTTCTGCTTACAAATGAGAATTTCCTGTCATAAGAATATCTGAAATGAACTCTTGGAGATCAGGGACTATTTTGAGGTATCCAGTGTCTTGTGTCTATAGTTATGGGATACAAAAGATAACACCTGGCTCTCCAAATGATGCTTTGTTGTCTATACCCAAACATAATATAGTTAAATGTTCTATGAATTTATTCATAGCAGATAATCAGGCATAACTTTGGACATTTAAAATAAACTTCTGCTTCACTATTTGTCTAAATATTACCTTTTTGAATTTTTTTTAGGGAAGATGGCTTTATGCTTTATTGGCTTGTCTTGAAAAGCCTTTATTACCTGAGGCTCATTCACTGATTCGGCAGCTTGCAAGAAGGTGCTCTGAAGTGAGGCTCTTAGTGGTAAGTTTAAAATTAAAAGCACTCACAAATTTATATGGTGCTAAAGAAAGAGTTCAATGAAATAGGAAAACACATGGAATATTTTATTGGTTGCAATTAGATTTGTGCTTATAACAGAAAAGCCCAAAATAATAGTAGCTTAAATAAAGTGGAAATGTTTTTCTCGGATAAAGAAAGTTTGGACTGGATGAGGTGGCTCACACCTGTTCCCAGCACTTTGGGAGGCTGAGGTGGGTGAATCACCTGAAGTCAGGAGTTTGAGACCAGCCTGGCCAACATGATAAAACCCCATCTCTACTAAAAATACAAAAATTAGCTAGGCATTGTGGTGGCACCTGTAATCCCAGCTACTCAGGTGACTGAGGCAGGAGAATCGTTTGAACTCGGGAGGCAGAGGTTGCAGTGAGCTGAGATTGTGCCACTGCTCTCTAGCCAGGGCAAGAGAGTAAGACTGTCTAATAAAAAAGTAAGTAAAAAAATTAGATTTTTACAGCCAGGCACAGTGGTTCATGCCTGTAATGCCAGTACTTTGGGAGATCAAGGCAGGCGGATCACTAGGTCAGGAGTTCGAGACCAGCCTGGTCAATGTGGTAAAACCCAGAATCTACTAAAAATACAAAAATTAGGCTGGGCGCGGTGGCTCAAGCCTGTAATCCCAGCACTTTGGGAGGCCGAGGCGGGTGGATCACGAGGTCAAGAGATCGAGACCATCCTGGTCAACATGGTGAAACCCCGTCTCTACTAAAAATACAAAAAATTAGCTGGGCATGGTGGTGCGTGCCTGTAATCCCAGCTACTCAGGAGGCTGAGGCAGGAGAATTGCCTGAACCCAGGAGGTGGAGGTTGCGGTGAGCCGAGATCGCGCCATTGCACTCCAGGGTGGGTAAAATAAGAGCCACTCCGCGACAAAAAAAAAAAAAAAAAAATACAAAAATTAGCCAGGCATTGTGGCACGCGCCTGTAATCCCAGCTACTTGGGAGACAGGCAGGAGAATTGCTTGAACCCAAAAGGCGGAGGTTGCAGTGAGCCAAAACTGTGCCATTGCACCCCAGCCTGGGTAATAGAGTGAGACTCTCTCAAAAAAAAAATTAGATTTTTACTAAGATGGCAGGAGTTTTGTCATATGTGGCTTTCATCCTCATGTTCATCTCATGATCCACAATGGCTGCTGTAGCTTCAGCTATAGTTTTTGGTTTTTGTTTTTTTTTTGAGATGAAGTCTTGCTCTTGTTGCCTAGGCTGGAGTGCAGTGGTGTGTGATCCCAGCTCACTGCAACCTCCATCTCCCTAGTTCAAATAATTCTCCTGTCTCAGCCTCCCAAGTAGCTGGGATTAAAGGCATCCACCACCATGCCTGGCTAATTTTTGTGTTTTTAGTAGAGACAGGGTTTCACCATGTTGGCCAGGCTGGTCTTGAACTCCTGACCTCAGATGATCCGCCCACCACAGCCTCCCAAAGTGCTGGGATTACAGGCGTGAGCCACCGTGCCCAGCCAGCCATAATATGTTGATATAGGCAGCTGGAAAGAAGCAGTCCGTCCTCTTTAAATAACCTTCTCAAAGGTTCCCCAGGCATTTCTGGCTATATATCTCATTGGCCAGAATTTAGTCACATGGCCATAAGGGACTTTAGGAAATGTTTCCTTTTGCCTGGGCACAAGTATGCCTAGCTAAAAATGAGCTTCTGTTGATAAATAGTAGGGGGACACAGGAAGCCAGAGTGATCAACCAGCATTCTTGGGCATAGTAATTGTTTTGAATTTCTCCAATCAGACCCTTCCTCTAACTTGTGCCTATAGCATTACTGTATAAATTAATCTAATGCCAGATTAAGTCCAGTTTTGATTTTTCTTTCCTCCCTCCTTCCCCGTCCCCAGAATGCGCATTGACCACTCCAAAATGTTTTTTTCTTCTTTTCCCCCAAGATAGGGTCTCTGTTGCCCAGGCTGGAATGGAGTGGTGCAATCACAGCACACTGTAGCCCCAACCTCCTCAGGCTCAGGTGATCATCCCACCTCAGGCTCATACATAGCTGAGACCGCAGGCATGTACCACCATACTTGCCTAATTTTTATTTTGTAGAGATGGGGTTTTGCTGTGTTGCCCAGGCTGATCTCAATCTCCTGGCCTCAAGCAATCTGCCGCCCCCGGGCTCTCAAAGTGCCAGGATTACAGGTGTCGTGTCCAGCCCAAAATATTTTCATTAAAATTCCATGATATGGCCCAAACTAACATTTATATGGCCTGTGCTCCAGAAAAAAATGTGCTTACTGTTCACTAAGTATTCCCTGAGCTTTGTTTCTAGACTTTTTTCCCTCTACAGAAGTCCCTTTCCACTCTCAATTTGCATTTAAATACCATTTACTTTTTGTAATCTGGTTCATATTCCACAACATGCTGTAATACTTTCCTGAACCTAAGAACTAGAAAGAATCTCTCCATCTTGTTTTTCCAGCATACTTTATATCCTGTGTATGGCATTTAATACATTTTTTCCTTCCATATTAGCTAATATGTGATATTTCATCGTCTGTACTACTAGCAGATAATGTTTTCTTCAGCTTTATTCCATATAATGCTTGTTACATGGAAGAACTTAACATGCGGCTGGACACAGTGGCTCACGCCTGTAATCCCAGCACACTAGGAGGCTGAGGCAGGCGGATCATGAGGTCAGGAGATTGAGACCATTTTGGCCAACATGGTGAAACCCCGTCTCTACTAAACTACAAAAAATTAGCTGGGCATGGTGGTGTGCACCTACAGTCCCAGCTACTCGGGAGGCTGAGGCAGGGGAATCGCTTGAACCCAGGAGGCAGAGGTTACAGTGAGCTGAGATCGCGCCACTGCATTCCAGCCTAGCAACAGAGCAAAACTCTGCCTCAAAAAAAAAAAAGAATTGAACATGGAAGTGTGTCTCAAATTTGAATTAAATATGTCTCCTGTAACATTACTGAGATTATTGTGACTTTTCCTTGAAATGTATAAAGTTCATATTTTATACCACTACCTTCCATGTGTCTTAAACCTGTCATTTTAACAAATATTTAAAGTAAAATTCTAAAAATATATTAGTTCAGGCTGTGCATGGTGGCTCACACCTGTAATCCCAGCATTTTGCGATGCCGAGGCGGGTGGATCACCTGAGGCAGGAGTTCAAGACCAGCCTGGCCAACATGGTGAAACCCCATCTCTACTGAAAATACAAAAATTACCCAGGCATGGTAGCACACGCCTGTAATCCCAGCTACTCAGGAGGCTGAGGCAGAAGAATCGCTTGAACCCAGGAGGCAGAGACTGCAGTGAGCCAAGATTATACCACTGCACTCCAGCCTGGGTGACAGAGTGAGACTCTATCTTAAATAAATAAATAAATAGGCCAGGCATGGTAGCTCACACCCCAGCACTTTGGGAGACCAAGGCGGGCGGATCACAAGGTCAAGAGATTGAGACCATCCTGGCCAAGATGGTGTAACCCTGTCTCTACTAAAGATGCAAAAATTAGCTGGGCATGGTGGCATGTACCTGTAGTCCCAGCTACTTGGGAGGCTGAGGCTGAGGAGAATTGCTTGAACCTGGGAGGCAGAGGTTGCAGTGAGCTGAGATTGCACCACTGCACTCCAGCCTGGCGACAGAGCAAGACTCCATCTCATAAATAAATAAATAAAGTTCAGAAATTGCCTTCATTTTAATTCAGAAGCCTGACCTAGATTATTTTCTGGTATGACTTATCCTGGAAGCCAAGATTTCACTCTTTCTTGATTTTGAGTTCCTTAAAACATAGGCATATATGGTGAACCATATATATATTCATTTATATATATACATAGATAATCAGTAATGAGTATGTATATTCGGTAATGAATACATATATTTAGTAACGAGTATATATATTCAGTAATGAGTATATATATATTCAGTAATGAATATATATATAGAACAATAAGAATCCTGTGTCTTGACTGTACAGTGATGAACATATATACGGTATATATATTCATATACAGAATATATATATCTTCATATACTTATATAACGAGAGGAACAATAAGAGTCTTGTGTTTTGGCTGTATAGTGATAAATATATATATGAATATGAATATATAATATATTCATATATGTTCATCACTATATATTATATAGTATATATTCATGTATATACTAATATGAATATATAATGTATATATTCATCACTGTACTGTACACAGGATTCTTGTTCCTTTAGTAGGAACCAGGGAAAAATCTCCCCCAACTTAGATCACTCTAGTCTTATTTTTTTTCCCTATTCAGAATCTTTATTTAAAAGACAGTCTTGTTGCTTAAGGAATCATTAATCTACAGTGTTCTTTTTCTTTGTGGGCTCCTATTTCCACGTAATGATTACTATCATAAAGTTTTCATGTTTCATGTTTCACATAATTTATTTCAAAAATAACAGAAACAGACAATATTTAAATTTTTCTTCTTCTTTTTTTTTTTAGGATAGCAAAGATGATGAGAGGGTTCCTGCTTTGAATTTATTAATCTGCTTGGTTAGCAGGTATAGTTAATCCTTGGCATCTTGATTATTTATCTATCAATGAGGTCAGTGAAGGTAGAACATATTTATTACATTTGTTTTTTGTTTGGTTGTTTTTTTTGAGACCAGGTCTCACTCTGTTGCTATAGCTAGGGTGCAATGGCACAATCACAGCTCACTACAACTTTAACTTCCAGGCTCCAGTGATCCTCCTACCTCAGCCTCCTGAGTAGCTAGTTGGACCACAAGCATGCACCACTACAACCAGCTAATTTAAAAAAAATTTTTTTGTGAAGACAGGGTCTCACTATGTTGCCCAGGCTGGTCTCAAAACTCCTCGGCTCAAGTGATCCTCCCACCTAAGCCTCCCAGAGCGCTAGGATTACTGGCATAAGCCACTGCACTCAGCCTTCATTTTTTTTTTTTTAATTGCCTGTGTCTTGTGTTCATTTTCAGTTGTGGCATATTTTTATTTAGTATCTGTTTGATTTCATTTCTTACATAAAAAATTTTCTTGGAATTTATTTGAAAACTTTTTCTTTTTTTTTTTTTTTTGAGACAGGGTCTCAGTCTGTTTCCCAGGCTGGAGTGCAATGGCACCATCTTGGCTCACTGCAACCTCCACCTTCCAGGTTCAAGTGATTTTCCCACTTCAGCCTTCCAAGTAGCTGGGATTACAGGCACCCGCCATCATGCCCGGCTAATTTTTGTATTTTTGTGGAGACGTGGTTTCACCATGTTGGCCAGGCTCGTCTTGAACTCCGGACCTCAGGTGATCTGCCTGCCTTGGCCTCCCAAAGTGCTGGGATTACAGGCATGAGCCACCACTCCCAGCCTGAAAACTTTTTCATATTCAAACACATACATACTTATTTTAGGTCTCCTCCTAGACATATTTTATTCCATAGATCATCAGGGTTTTTATTCTAATGCCAGTACCTTTTTAAAGCTTTATAATATACTTAGATATTGAGAAGTCAAGTAAGTGTCCATATTTTCACATATTCAATATCTAGTTGCTTGATCTATAATAATTATGCTGCTGATGAAAATTAACATTTACTGGATAATTTGTGCCAAGCATTTTCCTTACTAAGTAACCCATTTGATCCTGATAAAGTGGGTACTGTTACCAGTTTATAGATGAGCAAACCATGGCAGAGAGAGGTTAAATAACATTACTCCCATCACAAAGCTAGTAAGTGGTAGAGTTAGGATCCAAACCCAGGCAACTTGACTCCAGAGCTAAGCTTTTAACTATGCTGATCACAAATGAAGCTAATGCCTACTTCATCTGTTGGTAGTAGCAGTTAAATGAGATGATATAGCATTGCCCTAGTTATTTTATGTATAGTATCTCTACCCTTTACGGTAGCTCAGAGTTGTGTTTTGTTGTTTTTGTTTTAATACATTTTATTCTTTCAGCTCTGTTGGACTTGATTTTTTTTCCTTTTACAGATAATGACACAGATTTGGAAAGATTAAGTAATTGATGGCTCAGCAAACCAGTAATAAATGAAATCTGAAACTTAAGTATAGCTTCTGACTGCCAATCCATTGAGATTTTACAGTATTATGCAATTATGAAAGCAAAAACATTCAAGGGTATTTTTTGCCCTCAAAAAGTTAGATAAAAATGGAAAAAGAGTTCTAGACTACAGAAGATTGTGAAGCTAACAGCTTTACAAAACAAGACATAAATATTTGAAACTTAAGACAAAAAGGCCAGGTGCTGTGGTTCAAGCCTGTTCCTAGCACTTTGAGAAGCCAAAGCAGGTGGATCACCTGAGGTCAGGAGTTCAAGACTAGCCTGGCCAACATGGTGAAACCCTGCCTCTACTAAAAATACAGAAATTACCCAGGCATGGTAGCACATGCCTGTAATCCCAGCTATTCAGGAGACTGAGGCAAGAGAATCACTTGAACCAAGGAGGCGGAGGTTGCAGTGAGCTGAGATCGTGCAATTGTATTCCAGCCTGGGCAACAAGAGGGAAATTCCATCTCAAAGGAAAAAAAAGCCAGGCGCAGTGACTCATACCTGTAATCCCAGTGCTTTGGGAGGCCAAAGTGGGAGGACTGCTTGAGTCCAGGAGTTCAAGAGTTCAGTGAGCCATGATAGAATTTGATTAGTGATTTTCCTTTTTATTTAATCTGGTCTTTTAATTACATAAATTAGTTACCTTGCCAAAGTTAAAATTATAATTCAAGGTACATTTGGAGTATTTTAGCATCCATCTTTATCCTCATTAGTCTTTTTTCTCCTTTCTCCTCTAGTTAACCATGTTACTATTAATTTTTGTTTTATCCTTTCATTCATTGTTTCTTTTTAAAAGTATAAGTAGGCCAGATGCAGTGGCTCATGCCTGTAATCCCAGCACTTTGAGAGGCTGAGGCTGGAGAGTTGTTTGACCCCAGGAGTTCAAGACCAGTCTGGGTAATGAGCCATGATCATGACATTGCACTCCAGCCTGGGTGACAAAGTGAGACCTTGTCTCAAAAAAAAAAAAAAAAAAAAAAAGGAAAAGAAATATATAAGCAAACATGTATATTTGCAATCCTACACATACTCACATAAGGTAGCATACAAAACAATCTGTTTTGTACTTCATTTTTTTCACTTAATAAATCCTGGTATATTTAGTAGTAGTATAAATATCTTCCTCATTCCCTTTTATGGCTTCATAATTTTCCACTATATAGATGTACTTTCCCTTTTATGGCTTCATAATTTTCCACTATGCAGATGTACTATAGCTTATTTAACCAGTCTCTTATTGATGGACATTTGGGTTGCTCTTGGTCTTTGGCTATTAAAAGTATTGCAACAGTTAATATCTTTACAAATTTTTTTTTTACTAGGTATTTTGACCAGCGTGATTTAGCTGATGAGCCATCTTGATGTAGCTGATCTCTCAGGGATAGAAGATATTTCTCATGAAGGCAGCCTAACTCTGAGGAAAGCAATGCCAATTCAAGTACAGATTGCAACATATCTTCAACACTGTGTGAAGGGTTCACATCTTTACCTGTGCATTTCAGATTGATACTCAGAATATAGGTTGTATTGATTTGAATATCTGAAATATCAATGGAAAATCCCACTCAGTTTTTTATGAACAATTTGAACAGTTTTACGTAATCAAGCACCTTGCATAGAAATTGTGTGATGAAATTTTACATAGGTTCCTGGTGCTGTTTTGTTCTTTTTTTGTTTTTTGTTTTGTTATTTGCTGATATACATATAAAATTTTATTGAAAATATGTTCTGGTTACAAAAATTTTGTTTGACGCCTAACAAAAGACATTGGATAGCTTTAGCATCAGAATTAAAATAATCTAGATTAAATGGCAAGTATGTTCACACTCAGCAGTAATTAATCATTTTTTCCTTTGAGCGCAGTACTTTTTTTTTTTTTTTTTTTTTTTTTTTGAGACGGAGTTTTGCTCTGTCGCTCAGGCTGGAGTGCAGTGGCGTGATCTAGGCTCACTACAACCTCTGCCTCCCAGGTTCAAGTGATTCTCCTTCCTCAGAATCCCAAGTAGCTGGGTCTACAGGTGCCAGCCACCATGCCCAGCTAATTTTTGTATTTTTAGTAGAGATGGGGTTTCACCATGTTGGCCAGGCTGGTCCCAAACTCTTGACCCCAGGTGATCCATTACCTCAACCTCCCAAAATGCTGGGATTACAGGTGTGAGCCACCATGCCTGGCCTCGATACTTTTATTTTTAAATGCTTTGTTGCACAAAAAAACTTTAACAAATCATTTTCAAAAATACTCTTAACAAGTCAACTGTTTTAATTTTTTTTATATTACTTATAATTTATCTATTTTTATATCAGGTAGGAATGTTTTCTGCTTTAAGTAACACAGAAGATCCAAGTGGCAATGGTTCTTCAAATAGGGGTGTACTTTTCTCAGATAACAAGAAATCTAAAGGAGCTGGCCACTGGCATCAGTTTAGTGACTCAGTGATATCAAGGTCTCTGAGATTCCTTTAGCCTTTCCGTCATGGAAACAAGATGGCCATTGCAGTTCAAGGCAGTGTATCTATTCAAGACAATAAGAAGGGGAAGCAGAGCCTTCTAGATAGGATCCTTTTCTCTTAAATGTAAAACCTTTTTTAGAAATTTAGCTCATCTACTAGCCATAAATGTATAACATGATCACCCCTTGTTCCCAGAAAAGTGGGGAAATGAAGCTGTAAGCCTTTCCAATCTCACTAATAGAAGGTGAGAAAGGAAAAAGGGGATTGGGAATAACCATGGATCAGACAACCAATAGTTTTGCCTCTAGTTATAATTAGAGCAGAGGTCATTTTATATTTGAATCTTTTCTGTTATGTCTTCATAAAGCTCACTTTATTATTTTTTTCTTGATACGGGGTCTCGCTTTGTTGCCCAAGCTGGAGTGTAGTGGCGCAGTTTTGGCTCACTGCAACCTCCACCTCCTGGGTTCAAGTGATTCTCCTGCCTCAGCCTCCTAAGTAGCTGGGACTACAGGCATGCATCACCATGCCCAGCTAATTTTTTTGTATTTTTAGTAGAGACAGGGTTTCACCATGTTGGTCAGCTAGTCTTGAACTCCTGACCTCAGATGATCCACCTGCCTAAGCCTCCCAAAGCGTTGGGATTACAGGCGTAAGCCACTGTGCCGGACTCATAAAGCTCACTATAAAATGGCAGTCCAAGTACTTAAAAATTTCCTCATCTTTGGATATGTAATTTTATTTTCAGTGCTAATCTAATATAAAAAAATACTACACTGATATCTTCATGTACACAGCTTTTTCTTTTTTCAAACTATTTTCCTTTGATCGAAAGTTCCCGAAAGTAGGCAAGCCATAAGAGTCTATCAGTTGGCCGGGCGCAGTGGCTCAAGCCTGTAATCCCAGCACTTTGGGAGGCCGAGGCGGGTGGATCAAGAGGTCAAGAGATCGAGACCAGCCTGGTCAACATGGTGAAACCCCGTCTCTACTAAAAATACAAAAAATTAGCTGGGCATGGTGGTGCGTGCCTGTAATCCCAGCTACTCAGGAGGCTGAGGCAGGAGAATTGCCTGAACCCAGGAGATGGAGGTTGCGGTGAGCCGAGATCGCGCCATTGCACTCCAGCCTGGGTAACAAGAGTGAAACTCTCTTTCAAAAGGATAAAAAAAAAAAAAAGAGTCTATCAGTTAATACTGCACTTTGAAAACTTGGCTAAACTGAGGTTTCTAAAATTGTTTTTGCTTCTTATATAATTCTGGTGTGAGAAGTTCAGGATGGTACAGCAGCTCTACAATGTCCTAAATATTCTGGGCTCCATCCAGATTTCTCTTTCATCATTTTAGTATGTAGTTTTCATCTTTTTGGTTATGAAGTATGGTTTCTTTATCTCTTGCCTCACATGTACACTCCAGGGGAGGAAATGGCTCCACCCCTTCTTGTTGTTTGTATCTGGGGAGCAGAGCTTTTTAAGAAACCCTCGGCCGGGCGCGGTGGCTCACGCCTGTAATCCCAGCACTTTGGGAGGCCGAGGCGGGTGGATCACGAGGTCAAGAGATCGAGACCATCCTGGTCAACATGGTGAAACCCCGTCTCTACTAAAAACTACAAAAAATTAGCTGGGCATGGTGGCGCGTGCCTGTAATCCCAGCTACTCAGGAGGCTGAGGCAGGAGAATTGCCTGAACTCAGGAGGCGGAGGTTGCGGTGAGCCGAGATTGCGCCATTGCACTCCAGCCTGGGTAACAAGAGCGAAACTCCATCTCAAAAAAAAAAAAAAAAAAAGAAACCCTCAACTTATATCTCATTGGCCAGAATTATGACATATGATCAGCCCTAATTGTAAAGATTGCTCAAAAATGTAGCTAGGCGTGTTGCCACTCCAAACAAAAATGGGGTTCTATTTTTAAAGGGGGCAAGTAGATATTGAGTAGGCAGCCAGCAGTCTACTCTAAAAGGTTTAGAATACTAACCTGTACCACGGCTAGCTGTGTTATAGCCTCGCGTTTTTTGCTGATATGATACTTGGGGTGGGGGTGTGGGGATTGGGTTGGGGATTGTTTTAATAGAAGTAAAGTATCAAGTGTTTTAATTTACATTTTCTCATAACTAGTGGCTGAGCATACACTTAGGCATTCTACTCATCAAGAATAAAATTACTGAGAACTAGATAATATTTAAAAGAATGTGGCCATGCATAGTGGCTCACACCTGTAATCCCAGCACTTTGAGAGGCCAGGGCAGGTGCATCATGAGGTCAGGAGTTCAAGACCAGCCTGGCTAACACTGTGAAACCCCATCTCAAAAATTAGCTGGGCATGCCTATAATTCCAGCTATTCAGGAGGCTGAGGCAGGAGAGTTGCTTGAACCTGCGCCTCACCATAAATATTTTAAACCAGAGAAGCAGATATTTTAAACCAAGAGGTCTTTACCAGGTGCACCTGTTGACTTCCTGTAGCTTCAGGGCTATCCCCTACCCCCACCCAGCTCCCAGCCTCGGACACTGTATTAATCATGCTGCTGATAAAGAAATACCAGAGACTGGGCAATTTACAAAAGAAAGAGGTTTAATAGGATTTACAGTTCCACGTGGTTGGGGAAGGTCTCACAATCAAGAAGGAGGGTGAAAGGCACTTCTTAAATGGTAGCAGCAAGAGAGACTGAAGAAGGGCTGATCCACCCACCTTGGCCTCCCAAAGTGGTGGGATTAAACCATGCCTGTAATCCCACCACTTTGGGCGGCCAAGGTGGGTGGATCACCTGAGGTTAGGAGTTTGAGACCAGCCTGAACAACATGGTGAAGCCTCTACTAAAAATACAAAAAATAAGCCAGGCATGGTGATGCATGCCTGTAATTCCAGCTATTCAGGAGGCTGAGGCAGCAAAGTTGCTTGAACCTGGGAGGCAGAGGTTGCAGTGAGCTAAGATAGCGCCATTGCACTCCAGCCTGGGTGACAAGAGCAAAAATCAGTCTCAAAAAGAAAAAAAAAAAAAAAGTAAGAATCAAAAGCGAAAACTCCTGATAAACCCTTTAGATCTCTTGATACTTATTCACTATCATGAGAATAGCATGGGAAAGACAGGCCTCCATGATTCAATTACCTGCCCCTGGGTCCCTCCCACAACACATGGTAATTCTAGGAAATACAGTTCAAATTGAGATTTGGTTGAGAACACAGTCAAACCATATCATTCTACTCCCCTGGCCCCTACAAATCTCATGTTCTCACATTTCAAAACCAATCATGCCTTCCCAACAGTCCCCCAAAATCTTAACTCATTTTGGCATTAACCCATAAGTCCACAGTCCAAAGTCTCATCTGAGACAAGGCAAATCTCTTCCCTCTATGAGCCTGTAAAATCAAAAGCAAGTTAGTTACTTAGTCCTAGATACAATGAGGGTACAAGCATTGGGTAAATACAGCCATTCCAAATGGGAGACATTGGCCAAAACAAAGGGGCTATGGGCCCCATTCAAGTCAAAATCCAGCGAGGCAATCAAATCTTAAAAGTTCCAAAATGATCTCCTTTGACTGCATGTCTGGCATCTGGGTCATGCTGATGCAAAAGGTGAGTTCCTATGGTCTTAGGCAGCTCAGCTCCACCCCATGGCTTTGCAGGGTACAGCCTTCCTCCTGGCCACTTTCATGGGCTAGGGTTGAATGTCTGTGGCTTTTCCAGGTACATGGTGCAAGCTGTCCATGGATCTACCATTCTGGGGTCTGGAAGATGGTCACCCTCTTCTCACAGCTCCACTAGGTGGTACCCAAGTAGGGACTCTATGTGGAGGCTCCAACCCTGCATTTCCTTTATGCACTACCCTAGCAGAGGTTCTCCATGAGGGCCCCGACCTTGCAGCAAACTTCTGCCTGGGCATCTAGGCATTTCCATACATCTTTTGAAATCTAGGTGGAGGTTCCCAAACCTCAATTCTTGACTTCTGTGTACCCACAGGCTCAACACCACATGAAAGCTGCCAAGGCTTGGGGCTTCCACCTCTGAAGCCACGGTCTGAGCTGTACTTTGGCCAGCTGGAGCAACCTGAACAAAGGCACCAAGCCCCTAGGCAACACACAGCACAGGAACCCTGGGTCCGGCCTACGAAACCACTTTTTCTTTCTGGGCCTCCCAGCCTGTGATGAGAGGGGCTGCTATGAAGGTCTCTGACATGGCCTGGAGACATTTTCCCCATGGTCTTGGGGATCATGATTAGGCTCCTTACTTGTTACTTATGCAAATTATGCAGCTGGCTTGAATTTCTCCCCAGAAAATGGGTTTTTCTTTTCTATCACAGTCAGGCTGCAAATTTTCTGAACTTTGATCCTCCTGTTCCCCTTTTAAAACTGAATGACTTAGTACCCAAGTCACCTCTTAGAATGCTTTGCTGCTTAGAAATTTCTTAAGCCAAATACCCTAAATCCTCTCTCCCAAGTTCAAAGTTCCACAAATCTCTAGGGCAGGGGCAGAATACCACCAGTCTGTAAACATAACAAGAGTCACCTTTGCTCCAGTTCCCAAAAAGTTCCTTATCTCCATGTGAGACCACCCTAGCCTGGATTTTATTGTCCATATAGCTATCAGCATTTTGGGCAAAGCCATTCGACAAGTCTCTAGAAAGTTCCAAACTTTCCTATGTTTTCTTGTCTTCTGGGCCCTTCAAACTGTTCCAATCTCTGCCTGTTACCCAGTTCCAAAGTCATATCCACATTTTTGGGTTATCTTTTCAGCAATGCCCCACTCTACTGGTACCAATTTATTAGTCCATTTTCACACGGCTGGTAAACACATACCTGACACTGGGCAATTTACAAAAGAAAGAGGTTTAATTGGACTTATGACTCCACGTGGCTGGGGAAGCCTTACAATCACGGGAGACGGCGAAAGGCACTTCTTACATAGCAGCAGCAAGAGAGAATGAAGAAGAAGCAAGAGTGAAACCCCTGATAAACCCATCAGATCTCGTGAGATTTATTCACTATCACGAGAATAGCACAGGAAAGACCAGCCTCCATGATTCAACTACTTCCCCCTGGGCTCCTCCCACAACATGTGGGAACTCTGGGAGATACAATTCAAGCTGAGATTCAGGTGGGGACACAGCCAAACTGTATCAGGCACCCTGTGGACTCCTAGGATTCCAAAAAGTTTAAAAATCACTGGTTGTTTTATCATGTTTTCCCACTCCAGATAAAAAATATGTATTGAGGGGATGATTATTTAAAAGTTCCAAATAGGCTGGGCATGGTGGCTCACACCTGTAATCCCAGCACTTGGGAGGCTGAGGTGGGTGGATCACTTGAGGTCAGAAGTTTGAGACTAGCCTGGCCAACATGGTGAAACCTCTGTCTACTAAAAGTACAAAAAATTAGCCAGGCATGGTGGTGGGTGCCTGTAATCCCAGATACTCAGGAGGCTGAGGCAGAAGAATCACTTAAACCCAGTAGGTGGAGGTTTCAGTGAGCCGAGTTCGTGCCATTGCACTCCAGCCTGGGCAATAAGAGTGAACTCTGTCTCAAAAAAAAAAAATAAGAATCCCAAATAATATAGAAACTTCATGTCAAAAATTTCAGAGAACTGCTATATAATTTACTTGTAACTTTCAGTCTTTTTATACTATATATATATATATTCATTATATATGCTTAAATATTGTATGTGCAGCATCCTATAGCAAAATTTCTCTTAATATACCAGTTAACATCTTTCTATGTAAATTCATGTAGATGTATTTCATCCTTTTTAACAGCTGCACAGAATCTCCTTGTATGTTAGCATCAAAATTTAATGAAGTACCATTGAAGGACACCTAACCAAATAGTCAAAATCCTTATACATACAAGTTTGCATATTCATTTACTTACTTAGGTTAACTTTGTAGAAGTGGAATTGCTAGGTTAAAGTGTATGTTTTAAAGTTATACATGCATTTTATTTTGTTTTATCTTAGAGATGGGGTTTCACCATGCTGGCCAGACTGGTCTCAAACTCCTGACCTCAGGTGATCCACCCACTTTCAGCCTCCCAAAGTGCAGGGATTACAGGCGTGAGCCACCACGCCTGGCCTATATGTGCATTTTTAAAACACAAATATTTGGCTGGAAGCAGTGGCCCACTCCTGTATCCTAGCACTTTGGAAGGCCGAGGGAGGTGGATCACTTGAGTCCGGGAGTTCGAGACCAGCCTGGGCAACATAGGGAGACCCTGTCTCTATTATTACCAAAAAAATTGCAAATATTCATTTATGTGGTATGCACTATAGTTTTCCTTTTTTTTTTTTTTTAAATTGCGCTTTCTGCAGTGCAAACTCTGTGTTATGTCCTTTTGTTACTGTGGTTAAAAAACATGAAATCTGGCTGGGCCTGGTGGCTCTCACCTGTAATCCCAGCACTCTGGGAGGCCAAGGCAGGTGAATCACCTGAGGTCGGGAATTCGAGACCAGCCTGGCCAGCATGGTGAAACTCCATCTCTACTAAAAATACAAAAAAAATTTAGCTGGGCATGGTGGTAGGCACCTATAATCCCAGCTACTTGGGAGGCTGAGGCAGGAGAATCACTTGAACCTGGGAGGCAGAGGTTGCAGTGAGCCAAGATCCTGCCACTGCCCTCCAGCCTGGGCAACAAGAGTGAAACTCCATCTCAAAAAAAAAAAAATGAAATCCACCCTCAACAGATGTTTTAAGTGTACAGTACAGTATTGTTACCTATATGCACACTGTTATACAGATCTCTACAACTTTTTCAATTTGCATGACTGAAACGCTATACCCACTGAACAACTCTCATTTTTCCCTCCCATTATTCCTGTGTAACCACCATTCTACTTTCTGTTTCTAAGTCTGACCACTTTAGATACCTCATAAAAGTGAAATGATGTGGTATTTGCTCTTCTGTAACTGGCTTATTTCACTTAGCGTAATGTCCTCAAGGTTCATCATGTTGAAGCTTATGAAATTTTTATTATTTTATTTTTTAAAGAGGGCGTTTCATCATGGTCTCAATCTCTTGACCTCGTGATCCGCCTGCCTCAGCCTCCCAAAGTGCTGGGATTACAGGCATGAGCCACCATGCCCAGCTTGAAATTTTTTTTTTATTTATTGAGAAAGAGTCTTAATCTGTTGCCCAAGGTAGAGTGCAGTGGCACGATCTCAGCTCATGGTAACCTCAACTGCCCAGGTTCAAGCGATTCTTGTGTCTCAGCCACCCGAGTAGCTGGGACTACAGGCAGCCACCACCACACCCAGCTCATTTTTTTGTATGTTTAGTAGACAGGTTTTTGCTATGTTGGCCAGGCTGATCTTGAACTCCTGACCTCAGGTGATCTGTCCACCTCAACCTCCCAAAGTGCTGGGATTACAGGCGTGAGCCACTGCACCAGCCAAAAATCTTTTTTTTTTTTGAGACAGTCTTGCTCTGTCGCCAGGCACCAGGCTGGAGTGCAGTGGCGCAATCTCAGCTCACTGCAACCTCCGCCTCCTGGATTTAAGCAATTCTCCTGCCTCAGCCTCCTGAGTAGCTGGGACTACAGACACCCAGCTAATTTTTATTTTATTTTATTTTTTTTTTTTTGAGACGGAGTTTTGCTCTTGTTACCCAGGCTGGAGTGCAATGACGCGATCTCGGTTCACCGCAACCTCCACCTCCTGGGTTCAGGCAATTCTCCTGCCTCAGCCTCCTGAGTAGCTGGGACTACAGGCACGCACCACCATGCCCAGCTAATTTTTTGTAGTTTTAGTAGAGACGGGGTTTCACCATGTTGACCAGGATGGCCTTGATCTCTTGACCTTGTGATCCACCCGCCTCGGCCTCCCAAAGTGCTGGGATTACAGGCTTGAGCCACCGCGCCCGGCCAATTTTTATCTTTTAGTAGAGATGGGGTTTCACTATGTTGGCCAGGATGGTCTCGATTTCTTGACTTTGTGATATACCTGCCTCGGCCTCCCAAAGTGCTGGGATTACAGGCATGAGCCACCGCGTCTGGCCCAAAAATCTCTTTTAAGGATAAATAGTATTCCATTATATGCATATATCACATTTTATTTATGCATTTATCCATTCATCCATAGATATAGAGGCTGTTTCCACCCCTTGGCTATTGTGAATGTTGCAATGAATGGAACTGAAAAGACCCCTTCAAGACCCTAATTTCATTTCTTTTGGATAAAAACCATTTCATCCTGGCTAAATCTGAGGCTGCAGTCACCCCAAAAGAGGTAGCAGAGGAATTCCCATAAGGGACTGCCCCAAAACATTTGGAAATAAATCTGGCTGGAATTCCAAAGAAAGAAGCATTAAGCATCAGTGATCAGTCCAAAGTATTTATAAGGGAACCTATGTACAGAGGAGGCTCCGGTATCTCCTTGCTGGGACCGGCAAGAGAGGGATGCTCTCCCTGGGTATGTTTAACCTGTGTATGTACATAATGACAGGGTCAGGGATAGAGTTTATATGAGGGCTTAAGAAATTTGCCTAGGAAAATCCAAGATGGCTGAATAGGAACAGCTCTGGAGTGCAGTTCCCAGTGAGAACACAGAGGGTGAGTGATCACCACATTTCCAAAATAATTTTTACTGCCCACAGACCAGGAGATTCCCGGGTGGAAAAGCGCTACAAGATTCCAGCACGGCTGTTTCAGCAGGTGCACTGGGTCTCTGCACAAAACCTCACACAAATCTGGGCAGCCATTTCAATTGGCGCCTGGGACACCTGGGAGACAGAGTCACCCATTGAACTGAAAAAAAAGGGGGCTGAAACAGGGAGCCAGGTGATCTGGCACAGCGGGTCCCACCCCCACAAAGACCAGCAATCTAAAACACTCTGGATTGAGAGTTTCACAGCAAGCACAGCTGGACCCGCAACGGTCTGGCTCTGTGTGGGGAAGGGCGTCCGCCATTACCGAGGCAGTCCACCACTACCGAGGCAGTCCGCCATTAGTGAGGCAGTCCGCCATTACTGAGGCAGTCCGCCATTACCGAGGCAGTTCTAACTCTACCTCTATAAACAAAACCGCAAGGAAGTTCTCACAGCAGCTGGGCAGAGCCAATGGCAGCTCAGGAATACATCTGCTGGCAAACTGTGACTAAGCTACCTCATTGCTGGGCAAGGCATCTCTGATAAAAGGTAGCAGCACATCAGGAACTTATAAATGAAGCCCCACTTTCCCAGGACAGAGCACCTGGGGAAAAAAGGCAGTTATCAGTTCCACTGCAACAGACTTAAACGTACCTGCCCAGCCGCTCTGAACGGAACAAAGGAGCTCAAAGCTTAGCACTTGACCTCCTATAAGGGATAGACTGTCTCCTCAAGCAGCTCCCCAACCCCAATATATCCAAAGAGACACCTCATAAAGGAGAGCTCAGGCTGACATCTGGCAGGTATCCTTCTGGGACACAGATAACAGAAGAAGAAACTGGCAGCAACCCTTACTGTTCTGCAGCTGCCACAGGTGATCCCCAGGCAAGTAGGGTCTGGAGTGGACCTCCAGCAGTCCTACAGCAGAGGGGCCTGTTGGAAGGAAAACTAAAAACTGAAAGAAATAACTTTATCATCAACAAAAAGGACATCCACTCAGAGACCCCATCCGAAAGTCAAGTACAAAGACCACAGGTAGATAAATCCACAAAGATGGGAAGAAACCAGCACAAAAAGGATGAAAACACCCAAAACCAGAATGCCTCTCCTCCTCCAAGGGATCACAATTCCTCACGAGCAAGGGAACAAAGCTGGATGGAGAATGAGTCTGATGAATTCACAGAAACAGGCTTCAGATGGTGGGTAATAACAAACTTCTCTGAGCCAAAAGAACATGTCCTAACCCAATGCAAAGAAACTAAGAATCTTGAAAAAAGGTTTGACGAAATGCTAACAAGAATAAGCAGCTTAGAGAAGAATATACATGAATTGATGGAGCTGAAAAAACAACACGAGAACCTCACGAATTATACACAAGTTTCAATAACCGAATCAACC